TGGAGGGCCGGGAGCGGAATTCGTTCGTTCCGCGGGCTCCTGAACGAACATCGAATGCTCGCGCGATTGGTTCGATGAATTTCCGGGGGATCGCGGTCCGTATCGGTCATTACACCTAATGGTTTAATATTCGCGATACAAAATTACGTAGGCGTGCTATATTTGACAGAATTGGGTCGAAACGGTCGGGCCGAGGCAATAATAATCAAGCCGTCCAAGCTCTCTCGGTGTCGTTTAGCGCTGCACTCAGCTTTAATTACATCGCTTGTCATGCGTGTTTACCGCCGGAGATATGTGTGTATTTTGGCCTCTATAATGCATCCCCGAGATCGCCGGCAAAATTGCCAGACTGCGCCTTTGATTTACGGAAAAGGCACCGATTGTTGTCCCCCGAATTCGCCACGCTCCAGTTTCATTCTTTTTACAAAAACACCCAAATTATCGACCATATTTTCGTCGGCGTCATTTTATATAGCGAGAGGACGAACCAGAATATACATATACATTTTCGATAGTAAAAATAATTTTGAATGATCGCAATCAGGGTTCGTTAAACGTTTTAGTTACAAATTGTCAGTTCCGTTCGAAAGCCGATGGGAGGTCGACGCTCGCTTAAAAATGATTGCATTAAACAGCGTTCGTTCGCAGAAATGTTCCCAGGGTTATCGTACCATGCGACAATCCATTAACTCGGAAAATAAGAGCAGATGACAAAGCTTTTCTTTTATCGAGCCAGAGAGGAATTACCGGGCGTACCCTTCCCGCTCTACAGTTGCTAAGAAAAAAGAAACGAAGTAAAAAGGGACGGGAAACAAAAAGAAATGGCTGACTAAAAGAAAAAGAGAAGTAGGGAGGGAAAGAAGTTTGACGCGGAGGGCTAAGCGAAAATATTGGTCGCACTCGTTCGAGCGAAATCAAAGTGGAGAAAATCAATTCGCAGTCCACGGTGGGAAGTTAATGCGAATTAAAATCCAATTCCGTCGACGACGACATCGGGGCGAACCCATTTACCAAACGTTGCGTCGTCTTCGTGGCCGGGGAAAACAGGAAGCTTCGTGTATAGAGAGAGGTGGTTCGTCGAAGGGCGGCGGTGGACAGAGGGAAATTTGCATAAAGCCGGCAAAGGAAAGTGTTTCTGCCGTCGCGCGAGCGGGCATAAATATTTAATAAACGCGGCATGAAATATTTTCGTCGCCACCGCATAAATATTTCTACACGCTCTTGCGCACCATAGTTACAGATACTTTAGAAAAAGTAAGATCCCGTCATCTTTTTAAGTGCATTTACCCAGATTATTACGCAATGGAAAATGAAATGAATGATTCGATAATTCGAATATTTATAGATTAATCGAATAGCGATGGAACGTTTAAGGATGTATTGACTATACAGTCAATCCCAAAAGTTTATGCACTTTAGAAACGCATTTTTTAAAAAGAAATCAGACGTCGGAAGAACATTGCTAATAATAAACAACAAAAAAAAATTTTCAATTCTTCCGAGATTTTTCCAAGGGGTACCCCTTCAGATTTCGCGAAATTTTCGTTTTTTGCTCATAACTTCCAAACGAATGGACTTAGGAGGGCATTTTTAGGACCATTTTGTAGAGGACGACGAGATCTACAATTTCNTTAAATATCAAAATTAGGAGGAAAACAACTTTTATTTGAAGCATTTTTCGAAATTTTGAAGAAAAAAAATTTTTCGTCAGCGTCAATACTTAATTGGATATTTCCTTCTATACTTTTTAGCACGTAGCTATTTAATATTAGCATTATTCTTCCGACGTCTGATTTCTTTTTAATCATAGGAAATGCGTTTTTCTAAGGTACATAAACTTTTGGGATTGACTGTATAACCAATACATCCTTAAATAGGCTGGCACTTGGAATATATGTACAAAATAGAACAATATTTTCGAATGGACAGAAACGTTGGAGAGCCCTTGGACGGTCGACGGGAAAGCAGTTCGGGCAAAGTTAACACGTCTTCGCGACGAGAATGACAAGAAAGTTAACGGTGTTCGATAACGGAGCGGAGAAGTTTGCGAACGGTAAAAATATCCCGAGCTTGTTTCGAGGAGAGTCCACGCCCCCTTTCACTGCCAAAAGTTATTTCCGCTGGAAATTTATCGCTCTGCTGAGAATCGAGGCGTCATTTCCGGGGCGAACGAAACAAAGAAAGCGTCTCGCGAAAGATAATTGGCCTGCGCCGTTTCGTACGGCCGTCCACCCCCGCAGATCTCAGAACGGAAGCGCCCGCACGGTTGCGCAAGCTGACGATTGTTAAATGTACCTACTACCTACGCCCCGACTGATTTATTCCCGTGGGGGGCTTTTCGAAGGAACCTGGATATTTATCGTCCCCTTCCGGCGTTGCGGTAAATAATGTGTTTGCTCTTTAACGCGATTTATATCGGACCGTAACGCATCGCGCTTTTATACCGCGGAAAAAAAGAGAGATACTAAAAAAAATCCTCGCCGGATCAGACTTTTCGAAAGTTCCGTTTTCGTTATTGCGTCGCGATACAAATTGCGGCACGACGAAATTTCATTCCCGTACGTTTTTCCACGCTTTGGACATCGTCACAGAAAAGTATCCTCGCGGAAAGCCAATATCGTGTAATTAAATTTTCGGCCGGTTCGAACGGAAAAGAGCGACCAGAATCGCGTGTACATACAGTACCTCGCAAAAGCAAAACCGAAATTCAATACGGATATCACTCGTTCCTGTTACATCAGGAACGTATTTCGAAATATCCTCTTCCTCATTTATTGGCAGGAAGAGAACATTATAATCTTAAATATAATTATAATTTTAAATGCAGTCTTTGAGAATATATGAATTTATTATCTCATCGACGTTTGCAAAACTGTTTTGCAATCTTTTATTTAAATCGTATCAATTCATCGATGTTAATTTCTATCGCTGTTGAAATCTTCTACTTTCGCGAGACACTGTACCTGTGCACGAGAGTGCAAATAGGCTATAGCTCGCATTGGGAGGGGTCGAGAATTTTCGTGATCGATTAGATTCGCGGTGGACCATTTCGTTTGGTTTTCGACTGACAAAGAAAGCCATCCGCGAGCGTCGCGTCGACCGATTGATTAATTAAAGAGTCAGCAACCGCGTTCGAGGAAGGAGCGCCGGTTCTTTCGATAACGCCGTTTTCGTGCACTCCTCTTGACACGTGAGATTCGCGAACCTAGCGTCAATTAAATTTAATTGTAACTTTTGCCGAGAAAGAACTTGTCAGGCAGTAATTCGACGCCTGACTGATATTTGGCCCGATTTTCTCCCGAACAATCGTACAAAGAGACGTTGTAATTAAAAGTCGAATACGGTATAATAATGTTGAACTCGAAAAAATTGAGAGAAATCGTGGGAAATTTAGATTATTAATTCGCCATTGTATTGGGTACACTTGACAAATTTCGATTGTATTAAGTGCGGTATTTTACGACGTGGACTGACGTAACAAAGAGCGGTGAAATTGAACGAAAAGTGAAAAGTTACAGAGCGACCACTCACGGTGGAATTCTCTCTCTCTCTCTCTCTCTCTTGCTCCCTGTGCTACTTTGCCATTGAAATTCGCGGCCCGGCAGCAATTCCACAATACATTGTCAAAAGTTTTCGCTCGACGAACGTAATTAACGATAGTCGAAGTTCACGATTTGTTCTCTCGATCCAAACACAAAGAGGGAACGAGGATAGGAGGACGGCGAGCGAAGGGTGGACCTCTCTGAAGTCACCCGTCCGTTTGGTCAAGACCTTCGTATCCCAGAATCGCCTAACGAGTCGGAAAAATCGCGTCTCCGGCAAAAGGAGACTTCGCAATACATGTCTAATTAACCATAAAAATAACGAGATTTTTGTGCCCGCTAGCAAATAAGCCAAATCGATTTCGTATCAAAGGCAAGGGATTTTTTCATTATCTACGTTTCTCTAATTTTATCAAATAACGTTGACCCATGATAGACACGACGTTAAATCTTTATAAAATACGAGATACGCCGCGTCAAGCGAAATGGCCTTACACGTTTCCATTTGGAACAGGAAAAATCGAAGTTGGACGAGTGAAACTTCGCGTCCGCGGCTGTTTATTTAGCATCTTGGATGCCTGCCCAGCCGGAGTCGCCTCATTAAGCCCGAAAATAATAGCTCGGCGAGTGGCGGTGGTTCCGAGACAACGACGGGACTCTGTCGCGAGGCTTCGGCAAGACACCAGGGAAGGGGTTGTTGGTAACCCGGAGGGAAGAGGGACTGGCCCGAGGGTGCGACGTCAGATTTGTCTCGTTAGAGTTCGCATTGTGCCTGCCTATGCCCGATCTACGTTCCACTCTCGTTATAGTCCTTCGTCCCTACAGCCGAACCCTTGGCCCCTTTCTTTTTCCTTCTCTCCTATCTAACGAGCTTCCATTAAATCCACAATGCGCTTCCCTTGCTCGCCTCGCGATTCTTGCGCGATCCTGTATTCTCGTCGTATCGACGACTCTCGTACAGAATGCGCGTAATGGGCAATTTGATACACCAGCTGCCATTTAATTGTCTTCTCCGCCGGAGCAATATCCATTTTTAAGCCATTTAAAATTCTGTCTTTTATCCCTGGACCCGAATCTCTTCCGAGTCGCTCTATCCCATTCTGTTGGATGATCGATAAAAGGACGCGAGTACCGTGAATTTTGGGGAGATAATCGATCTTTCGGCAAGAAGCCCGTAGTCGGAAGACCGATGGTGCCCATCGAAAGTTTCCAATGTTACCTGAGACAGGTAATTTGTAATTCGGCTGATCTCCGGTTCGTAGCTAACTTTGGGTTCATGGACAGATCGTTTATCGAGACGTCGACTATTAGGAAATAGCTTCTAATCGATTCTACATGAATCTCCTGTCGAGAATTGCCACGCGACTTGCTCAGATAATTTCTAAGAAAATAATCTTTTCAATCATGAAATAAATTCCGGCGCGAATTCTTAGAGAACAATTTTCTGTTGAATTGCAGCGAGTTCCCCGGAGCCGCGTACGTGCCCGTACCTGGGCAAATTCACGGTGACCGGCGTGAACCGGAACCAGCGGAACATCCGTGAAAGCCGGAGGAACCAGCAGCAGCAGCAGCAGTACCAGCAGGAGGGTGTCAGACGTGAAAGAGAGAAGGTTCGACACGCCCAGGAGCGCACCCAGGAGGACCGACGGGTTCGGAAGCTCGATTTCGAAGCTGAGAAACGTCGCGCGAACAACGAGTACCTCGTACACGAGCGTATGGGCCGCCGCGCCAGATCGAATCGCAACAATCGCAACCACCGCGATCACAGCTTAGAAGAGATGTCCTCGAAACGGAACATGGACATAGAGGACCTGCTGTACTCCAGATCCAAGGTTAGGTGGCCCGAAGAGCAGGACGCGAGGTTGAAAGTGAGAAGATCGCACGATTTGGAGAAACGTTCGACCGAGGGTAACAGGTCCAGGAGGAACCCGAAGATGGAGGACTTCCGGGTAGATACGGACTATTTCACGCGAATCAGACAATTTTGGATGGCCGATTTCGAGGACGACGGTTCGAGCATGCTCGAGGTCCAGGAAGATTACTTCGGCGATTACCCGGACACAGCTGATCTGCCCAAGAAGAGATCGGGAAGAGAAGAGAGAAAGCTAATGCCGAATCTCCTTACCAGGACGAGAAGGGACGTCCACGATCTCGAATCCGATGATGGGTCCGCTGAGAGAAGGGAAAAGAGAGAAGAGGATATCTCTAGGTGCAGTTCCGAAGTCACTACTATTACTATTGGCTGCTCGACTGCGGACAGAATGGAGTTTCAGACGGACTGCGTCGAAGACAACGCGATTGGTAAGCCTATTCATCGCTTTCTTTATAATTGTAATTAATATTTAAAAAATAGCGCATTATCAAAATATTGTTGACTCGGTCCTCGATACGAAGTCTGCTAAAACTTTAAAGGAGACCTCGTTGCACTCTTCTATTGCAGCTTACTCGTGCCACGGTCGGTGGTTCGACGCTGAAGGCACCCAATTCGTGATCGCAACGCAATTGGCGCCGGGCACGAGTTGGTCGAACGAGAACAACAGGCCGCAGCCGTACAGGAACACCCGCAGACTGTGCTTCATGTACAAAGAGAGCGGCGGTGTCGTCAGTCTGACTGCCAGCGAGGTGGCCTGCCAGAGGGGAATACCGCCACCCCCGCCGATGTTGGCCTTCAACGCTACCAGTACCGGTAAGTGCCTCCTCCTTTTCCTTCGGTCTCTTCAGACCTCGAGGATCCTCGAGATCCTCCCGGCGAACCTAACAGTTTTGTCCCACGACTACTGCCTCGTTCTAGCAGTTTGTCTCTTTGTTTTCAAAGGAATTAGGTCGCTCTCGTGGTTCATTGTTTTTTCGCCTTGTCGACTTAATCAGTTCTAACATTCAGAATTAAATACGATTTTATCATTTTATATTGAAATATCCTAAACACGGTATGGACTTGTTTCACTGACTGCAGTTCCAAATTCATTATGAAAACTATTCGTTCAAATCGCGCATACTTTATTCGATGAAAGATTGCTGTCTGATGTTATCGGAGTTTCCCTTGAGCATCCAAGAATCGTGGCCGTTATCTTGGCGAGAGAATTCTTTAGGTTTTTTTGTTGCCCTGTCGCTGCTCGACGCAAACCTCGCGACGATTATTGAGATCTATCTTCTTTGTAAATTCTCCAAGCGGCTCGACAATTCCGTTTTATTCCGGAAAAATATCGAGATCGTCAATGAAACGACTGCCTGACAGGGAAAAGAGACGCGGTGCTCCTTTACCGCGAAAGGGAATACGGCCTGACAGCACGACAGGCTGCATTGTCCAATCGGAATCGCTGCGTCAGCGATTGTCATCCACCGTGTCAGTTGAATTTTGGACGTGTGATTCGCCGCGACAAGTAGACGACTTGACGAATGTATCGTGACAACCCGTTGATCCGCGAATTAAACGCTATATACAGTTCCAATTAAGATCTAGAAATTACGAGCCCTCGATCATTCGTTACAATATGATTTTTGAATATAGATTGTTGAAACTGATGTACGAAGATGTGCGTTTGCCGATTGAACAAGTTAAAAAACGGTAACCGCGTTTGTGTTCGCAGGTCAGTGCATGGAAGAGAACAGGGGCTTTGTTGCTCGATCGACGTACCTGATGATCGTCACGCTGACGGCGATCGTCGCGATATACAGGTGATTCTAATCGAACGGACGACGATCTCGCGACCGTTAAAAAAAAGCAGAATTCGACACAGTCAGTTTGTAATCTGGGTTTCACATTGGACACCGTGCGGGTGACGAGGTGGTGGTACACGTGTATAGAAATAAATAAATATATATTATATATACTCGCCTTCGTCGCGAATCACACACCGGGGATGAAGGATCGGTCGAGCGACCGGCAAGGGGGAAAGGAAAGGAACAATCGATAAACTTTGAACACTCCTCTCTCCGTCAGCCTCTCTGATCCGACAGAATTTCAGAAGTACGAAGAAGAGACGAAAGAAGAAGCGATAAGTAAACGAGAACAGGCGCTCCTCTTGAGGTCGAGACTCGTTCCAGCCGAGGGGGGTCTCTCCTGATTCGATTCGATGCTGTGGAACGAAAAATAAAGTCGCCTATAATAAAGAGACAAGAGGCAAAACTCTGATTTCTTTCGATGTAAGAGTTACACGAGAGGTCGGGTGAAGGAGAGAGATAGAGAGAGAGAGAGATGGTGCAGGGAGGATCCGATCAACGGAAGGGTAGCTCCTCGAAGGAAATTTTTTTCCCCGAGGAAGAAGGAGGAACTGCTTGTTCCTTTTCCAGGGGGGTTGGCTCGTAAGAAAGGGTTCTTACCCCTCTGGTCAGTAGGTTTTTTACCGATGTAGCTCATAGGCACTAGCTAATTAAAAATCAAGTAAAGCTAACGAACGTAATTACACACAACTTTTTATGGTTAGACCATATCACGAGAGCGAGATCGATCGGATTTATTGGCGGAACGAACGATGGTGGGGGGAACGGGGAAATCTGGTCGCGAGCGAAAACAGCGCGAGAGAAAGACGGTGTCTCATTTTTTAGTTAGTAAAAAGGACGATCGACGATGGTCGTTATCTTTTAAGGTAGAAACTACATAGCGAATAGCTTTAATAAGGCGCGAGCGGGAAGCAGCTTACTCGGCAAATATTTTTTACACCGAACACGTCTTTTCTTTCCACGAGGGCACGGTGTACCGTGTACACATATTGTAACGTAACTTGTAATTATGATGAAGGAAGTGATGGACGAACTTTTCTATAGAAACATCGAAGCTACCGTGGCAACGCACCGATCTAACATTTTTAAACGAGACATGAATTTCTCATGAATAGACTGCGGATTTTTATGCAATACAAAACATTCAGGAAACGTGCTGCAGCTGGAAATTTCATTCATTATTTAAGAATCGTGATATGTATGCAGTTTCCGATGTTTCATACAGTTTTATACGTTCCTCTATGCATTCTTTATATGTACTATTCCGATTTTTTCCTAAATGCATCAAATCCGCGGCCTAGTTATGAAAGATACAGGACCGAATTTACAACGAACCGGACGTCGCGACGTCGCCGCCGCGCCAACAGGTTTTCGATCGGTCGATCCAGAAACTCGGACGACGCGGAATTCAATTACCAACGCGGAATATTAGCAGACGTATTAAAAGTTGATCGCTGTATTACGTAACAGCTACAAAGGGTTATTAGCCGTGTTATAGCTGAGTGTATGCCGTGGCTATTATATAATAGCCCCAGTAATAGCCGCTGGCCGTATTAATAACCGAGCGGGAGGAAAAACATATTTCAAAGCTTCCGGGTTAGCTGCCATTATTTTTCTATAAAAAGGAATAAAACGCCGCGCGTCCCTTGTTTCGAAGACGGCCGATGCCACTCGGATCTCTCAATCCAAAATTATTGCCGAGTAAAGAGTGAACATAAAACTGATCGAGAATGCGAAAAAGGGTGTCAAGAGTGTCGATGAAGTTATCTTTAAAAGAGATCTAATACAGATCTAGAACTATTTCTTCTGTATCGAAAGCAATTGGAAAAGTTTCTTCCTTTTTTCAGTAATGCGTTCCTCTAGATTTGTATTAGGCGCGAAAATGGAAAAGAGCGAAGAAAGTATCAGGGTCGAGTAAAATTTAGTTTCGTATCGCGATTCATCAATAAATAAATTCGCCGTATCGATTGCAAGTTAGCGCGCTTGTTGCGAATTTCGTGAACGGCCAAACGCATACGTCGCTCCCGATGATGAATTTAATACAAATATTTCTGGTATTTCGGGAACAACCACTATTCCGATCATTCAATTAACTTCAATCGGGGCCAATGTACAATGATGGCCAATTTCGCGAGCGCCGCTGAAATTTATTTCATCGCCTCGTGCTGAGGCCCCACTTCGCGAACGCTTTTTTAATAAGTGCCACAGTTTTTCTCCGCCATTACCGGCGAAATCAGGCTGCGCGAATTCGAATACAAATCGGAGCCGTGAACAGATTTTTCGCGGAAAGCTTTTCCCGGCGCGCAACAGAGTTTTCACAGATGAGGGATGACGAATCGTCCGAGGGGTAGCTAGGGGCGGGGAGGGGAGGTATGTATCGATAGACGGCCGACCGTGTAAAGTGTAAAATTGTAACTGTGATGGATCCTTCAGCCGTTGTAGCGACACGCGTTGATCACGCGTTCCTCTTTCGCAACGTTCGTTCCGTACGACTCCGATTCTTTCTTCGCTACGATCTTACTCGTTCTCGTTTTTCCTTTGTCATACGTTCCGCGTCGGTTTCCGGAAAAAGTTCCTTCGACGATTAATCTATCGATGGATCGGTAAAAAGCAATATTGGAACGGAAAACAAATCGTTTCATGTTTATCTACCCATCGGTCCGATATTTTAATGAAAAAACTGAACAAGTTAAATATTTTATATTGATATTTCTAATTTAAATATTTTGTCTGTTCCAACAGATTCTTGAAATAATTCATTGATCGAAAATTGCATTTTACGTAGGAAGGAATTCTTCACGGGAAGCGAACGCGCGCGTTAACGTAAGCAATAAGCAATAAAAGTTCACGCAACGGCTCAACTGTGTGCACGAAAGATGTTGCGTTTCGTACGAAACTGATAAAGATCGCGAGATTGTGCCGGGGATAGATAGTTTCTATGGCACTGGTTTGTCGGCGAATAAGAGAGAGAGAGAGAGAGAGTGCGTGATAGAGCGGGAGAGAGCGAGAGAAAGAAAGAGAGAGAGACAGAATTATAGGACCGATCGATCGCGAGGGTAGGACGCTACGATATTATTGTAACTAATACAGAGTCTATATTATATTATTGTACAAGCATCTTTGTAATAATTAACCCGGACCGAGTGACGAGAGAGGAAAAACGAAACGGGGAAGCACCGTAGAAGAGTACGCAACAAATGCATAGAAGGCGCAGAAAAAACGTTGAAAAATCACAAAAAAAAGAGAGAGCGAACGATGAAAGAGAAGCCAATCGCTATTTTACCACTTTTCCAGTCGCGTTAAACGTAGTTTTTACGCCGTCACACTTCCCTTCCCGTTCATTTTTGCGACGAGAGTAGCCCTGCGATCCGAGAGACAAAAGATTGTCCTCCATAGCCGGTAAAATTTATTCGCCTATTTTTCTCACTTTTTTACATGTTATCGACGACAAAAATTTCTTTGCTCCAAAGACTCCCTTTGCGCGAGGGAACATCTTATTGGAAACGAGCGCGGCATCGAGCGTAACAACGTGGATAGGATAAAAAAAAAAGAATGCCTGTCGGCGTCGTGGTGCTTCTTCCTAGAAGAGAAGAAAATAGCGGAGGGGAAAATGTCCGCAGAGCATGCGGAAAAATGCGACGGATCAAAGGCCCCTCACGGAGGCGTCCATTTAATCGAGTGAAAGACGCGCTCCTTTTCAGGGTTCTCAGAAGAAGAGAAGGACCGATCGACTTTCGTTAGGCTTCTCTTGGCCGAGTACCTTCTCGGCAAGTTACTTTTACCGTCGTTGCGCACAGAAAATCATGGATTACCGAGCCTTCCTATCATCTTTTTCTTTACCGCGTCTCCTCTTTCCCTTCAACGATTTTACGTCTATTTTTTTTTCTTATTTCGTTCCCTTCGAGTAGAGTCACTTTAGCGGTTAGGACTTTTAAAACGATTAGCACCTTAGACACCGTACCGTACCTAAGAAGATGCAGTGTATTTAGCGTTAACCTTAAGGTTATAGCGATTAAGGATTACTCTAGCTTCATAGGGGTAATAAGCTCATTGTGACAGCAATCAGAGGTGCCCCGCGGTCGGAACCATCTCCAACCATTTCATCTTTACGCTTCTTAACGAACAGTCTCGGTTCCCCGGTGCAGCTTGGAGCGTGCGTGAGAAATACACCGAGGAATTTTGTGCAAAATAAATCGATTAAGAAAATTCATTTCTTTTATGATTTAAGCACTGCAATATATGGGCACTTTTCGTACAATTTTACGCATCAGATGCAACAGTTATCTTTTTGCAAATGCATCAAATCCACAGTGTAACGATAAATGTCAAAGAACATAATAAGACAGCGGGCGGCAAAATTGCTTAGATATTCAAATTTCGGAAACAGTCCCGGGGTGCATGATGTTTGAACTATCATACCGAAAGTCAAATATTGGGAGGCGAAGTCGATGGCCGATCGAAATTCTACAAGTTTAAACGGGTCGCCAAAGTCTCGCCGCAAATTACCGATTCGACGACTAATCGGATTAGCCGAGTTTCTCCTGTTCGGAACCGTGGACGACAGTCAATAAGAAAACAAATTAAGGAAGTCGAAATCAATCGTCCAGACAGATGGGTGAAAGGTCCGTTTGCACAAAGTCTGCAGTCCAAAGATAAACAGTGAAAGTATTTTCTGTATAATAGATGAAAATGGAAAGAGTAGTGTATCGCGGGTGTTCTATTCGTGGTTATTCTATTACTTTCGATTTGCCCGACACAAACAACGCCGAGGGATTTGATAATTATCAGAGCATCCCCAAACATCGTTACTGACCGACCGCCTATGCTCGCGCTGCCGGCCTCTCGTCAAACATTATGCGCTTCGCTTAATGAGATTGATGCAATCGGTCGACGCATTTAATCCAGTTAATTTACATTGAGTCCTAATATCGCACGCGAATATTCCGCTAATGCAGTCGGTAATGAGAAACAGAAAATTGCTTGCGCACACCCTATGAACCCCGCCGTTCCACGCGCGCGCGATACACCCACCCACTGTCTGTTCCCGACTTGTTCACGCTCGTGCCCCCTTGTTTTCGTTGAATCATCTCGAATTTTACACGGTAGAAGTTAATTCAATCAAAATTCGCGACCGATCTCGATCGCATCGACGCTTTCCAATGACCAAGGACCATAATTTTTATTTTCGTGGCCCGCTTTGACGCGTGAACGGAAAAAGTTTAATCGTGAGAGAAAAAAATGGGGCGAACTAAATTAGTCGAGCGAGGCGAGGGTAGGAGGTAACAGTTGGGGCAGAGGACGGGGGACAAAGATGAGCTGGATGTCGTGGGAATCCAGCGGGAAAAGCGGGCAGAGAGTCAGAAACAGGACGCGTTTACGCGACCTGGATGGCGGTTAACGATTTTATGGAAACCCGTCTAATAGGATTATCGGATTACTTCCGCGTCGGTGCGGGTGCTCCACCGCGGTTTATTATTCCCCACACAGTGGATTATAAGCTCGTTCTTGAATCTTATTCGTCTCGTATAACAGTCTCTATGCGCGCAGCGCCTCAGGACGCGATTCGTGAAAACGCTGCGGTTCACTCGCGTACGAAATTAGCACCGGTTCCGAATGTTGCGAATCTAATTGCGCGATGGTTAATCCGCGCTACTGTGATTTCCCGGACGATCTTCGCTAAACAACCGTTTAACGAGCTCGCGGAATTAGAATCGTGCTTCTACGCTGTTTCAGCCACAATAACAATGGTAATTAAAACCTAACTCGCTATCAAAGAAACCTTTAATGATGCCGCGTGACGCATCCACTGATTCGAAAGATTCGAGAGAATGGCCATATGGGAAACGGGTGGCACCCCGCTCGAACGGCTCGCGTACGCTCCAGCGAACCGGGGACGTTTTCAATCAAGGGACAATCATCCCTCGACTTCGAATCGAATCTTTTTATCGAATCATCGCGGCCCATCGTTTCCCTTCTTCCGAAACGTCAGCGGCCGATCATTGAACAACGACGGGGAAATACACTTCTTTCGCGGCGAGGGTACATATACGGAGCAATATATGAGAGCGTGTGTGCGCGTGCGTGGTTATGTGTGTGCATGTAAGACAGATTCAACTATAAAGGACAGAGTCCGAGGGTAGAGTGAGTACCCTAATGGAGGAGGCAATATTTTATAATACGGACAAAACATACCACCTGAGAATATCCGATACTTTGTTACTTTGATTTTCAATAAATAACTATTATCGGTGTTACAACAAAGTCACCTGCAATCAATCCTTCCGAATCCCGAGCGTTCATTCAATTAATTGAAAGTTAACTCCTAGGATACGCGTGCATAGAAATGATCACGATCAGACAACGGATTTGACCCACTTGGTAAAAAACTTTGATGTGCACAAGTAGACATCGTTATCTCTCAAGCGCAAATGGAATCTCAATTTATATTTCGTTCTTTAAAAGTTGTTTCTTGTATAAAAATCCGCAGTCTGCTCGTGATACATGTATATTATCGTGTACTATGTGTGCGTTTAATAAAAGGACCGCGGGGCAAGAAAGCGATCTGGTGTACGGGGACGGTAGGTGCGCTCTTGAAACTTTCAAACTCGCCCGATTCGAATTGAAAAGCGCAAACTTGCTTTGAAACGCTTAACGAGCTTTTCTAAACATTCAGTCCATAGCATCAGTGAAACGTTCGAAAAGAGACTAATCACGGCGGAAAATTATGAATCACCTCGTCGCGTCACGATCCACTGGGTCACGGCCAATGAAAAAGAGACTTCGCTCCTTGTTTAGCGATCTGGGGCAAAAGATTTTTCCAGGAAAATAATCTACGCGACCGTTTATATGTATCCTTCGCTTCAAAGACTATCTAAATTGGATGAACTCGACCAAATTTCGTTTTGTTATTTGATTTTCCAATAAGATACTAAGTCTTGTGAACGCGGGTGTACATGGATAGGCGTACGCTTTGGTGAAACGGTTAATAGAATGTCGATTCTCTGGATGACACGTGTCGGATGTGATCGGGGGATAAAAGCTGCCGGGACAAACGGTGTCGATAAAGCTGGAACGACTCGCGAACGAGCTCGTCGGTGTACAAGCTACTTTTTTTTTGTTAGCTCTGTTATTTGTTTGTTCCGTTGTTTGTTCGTTCGTTACAAAAAGTATCTCGCGAGGACGACTGACATGCTTCTTGCATCGTAAAATAAAACCAATTCCCGATTTACATTGTATCAGTAACAAAGCGCTGTTACATCAGTTCCATACTATCTACTCGCAGCTTTTCGTAACTGTACATTCGTCTTCAACGGTATCTCTTCATTATTCTGCGAAAGCTCATACTTCAAAGAAATCGGTAATAGCGTTCTATTGGTAAAACCATAGCACCGGATGTAACAGATAAAAATGGCAAAAATAACTATTATTATATTTTACTTTACGGGTTTATGTAAGATTCAAAAGAATGCGACTTATTATTAATTATTTTATAACGAAGCAAAATATGTTGCAATTTCGGTTGTGCGCGTAGATTAATCGCGTTGGCCGATTGAGCGCGACGAGCAGAGCATGGGAGACGGGTTGGAATCGTGCGCCGACCTCCACGCTCGATTACGACTTTTCAGCTAGCATACTACTGTGCGTTGCGAATTGTGCAATCACGTCGAATCAACGAAGCGGCGCGACGCTCGCAATCGAGCCCGATTAAAGATCGGCATGCGATCGCTCCCCCCGGACACTGATAATTTGCAGAATCATTTGCCAGTGTAATTGACGCCGTGGGGTAGTTGGAAAACCGACCGATCTGCGTTTTATATACCCGTTACCTTGAAATTACCAAACTATTATTTCATGAATGTTCTCATCGTGTCATATCGCACTTTATTTCATTACTCGATGAAAACCAATCGATCTTCTATTTAACACTCGTTTGTTTCAATGCAGAACGTACAGTAGTTTTCTGAATTACGGAATTCAAACGACTTACAATAGATTATTCCTGCGATAATCGATTGATCCTGATAAAACCAACGAAGAAGTAATTTCAAGGTGAACTTTTCTATGTCATGATCGTTTAGTATTATTATCAGACGTACAGATAATAGACCGATCGTCCCCGTTGTTCCGGAGTAAAAAAAATACTGAACGAAGTTAAGATAAGAGGAGGTTAGTGTAGTTTGGATGAATGACGAAAAAGCAATAGCGCGTGAACGGTGCGTGAACATGTGGGAGACGAGTGTCGTGATGAAAGAGAAACGCTTTGCGAATGACGAGTATGTAAGCTACCTGTGCCTTGTAACAAACTATGTATGTATATACGTATTATACATATACGCATGGTCACACGAGGAGAGAGAAGTACATACATACGTACATTATATACGACACATGTAACGCGTAAAACTTTCACGGTAATCTATATATGTTTAATGTCGGCATCTCTTCTGGAACGCAGCATGGAAAGTGATCGAGTCCCCTCTCGGAATTTCGTTGAATGCGCGCGCGTGCTCGATAACACGGGAAAAACGACGGAACGGAAGTGTGCCAGCGAATAGAAAAGGAAAGATGACGAACCGTTGTTGAATGAAACTGATGAAAATAGCAATAATCGAATCTCAGACTGTACTATTAAACGGGCAAAGTGTGCGGGAAAGAGATTGATGAAGAGTGAACGCAATTTTTGTTGTCGCGGCGGCGACGCGCGAGCGTGTTAATTATTATAAATACTGTTACAGTGTCTTGCTACATTGGGGAGATTAAAATAAAAAATCTCGAAGCTCGAACGCGCGGATTTTGTTCTTTATTTGCCGACCACCCGCGTTTCCGTTCAATAAACACTCTGATCTCCTTTTTCCTATCATCCGTGCACCGTTCGCGCCCACCTCCTGCAGTTTCCTGTACACGCGGTTTCTCGAGACATTTTCCCGTGATTTTTCTTCCGCTTAGAAAACATCTCGCTCGCATTGTTCGATCAAATCGAAACGTACAAATTCGCTTCGAATCGTCATCTCCATCGCATGGTAATTTAGGTTGTTCTTTGCGATCGGAACGCGAGACGTGCGAATTTATCCTAACAGCGGAGAGAATGGAAATCTGTAGAAAGCTTTTCCAGGTCAGCCGTCGAAGCTTCTCAAGATTTTTGTATTTCCACGAAGGGAGCCGTCGCCCGATTTCAAAGGATACGTGACTCGGCGCTCGGTGCCAACTCGCGATTTACGGCCGATGCGTTACGTCGCCGCGGTCAATTGAACGGTCGTTCCTTTTTTGATTTAAGACCGGTTTCTTCTCTTTCCCGATTGACCGAATCTGTCCGAGCGACACGCGCCGCGGGCACATAAATCCTTTCCGCGCGGTGGCACGTGCCGCGATCGAAATTCGCCCCCGACGATGATTTATCGTGAATCCGGCAGAATTCGAGGCGAAGATAAGCGCCCGTCCCTCTCTCTTCTCCTCGCGTTTTCCCGTGATTTAGGAGCGAAGGTGGTCCGACAACGAAAAGTGTATCCGCTTATCCATCGAACACGGTGGAACGAAAACAAAAAAAAAAAAAAAAATGCATGGAGGACAACGGAAACGGCAGCAATTTATGTTTAAACAGCACTCGGCTTTGTATCGCGCGGCTCTATCGGTCGTATCGGCATTATCTTGCTCGTTTTCGCGTGATGAAAGCTGCGCAATTTGTGCGGGCTGCCAGCACCCGCCGCGTTCGCGTTTTTATCGGAAAGGGCTCTTTGTCACCGCGGATCGAACCCCAGTCTAACAAAACCCCACAAAGAGTGACGAATTAATAAAAAGCGCATTTACAATTGAATCGAATTCTCACTAAACGGTTCGTCCACTCTTCAAAAATAAGTATTATCAACGCACTGTGCAATTTGACGTTTATATGCATAAATCATTTTTAAAAATTCTGTCGTGATCGCAACCTATGCTGAGGAAAAGAAAATGCTACGAATCCGACGGCTGACGCGACGTTCCATTTTAAAGGAGAGATTCTCCTTCTGCCCTGGTAGCCATATATCTGGTAGAGAACACGTTCCGCGGTCGCGGAAACCGGTTCCCGTTCAAGGGAGATCAATGGCAGAAGCGGCGCGACGTTTCGAAATTGGAAAATAGCGCACGACCCCCTGGGCCCGTTGCGTCGCGCCGGTTTTGCGTTCTGTTGCCCGAACGCCAACGTTCCGCGTCGCGGATCCAATTGAGCTCGTGCGTCGACCCTGTCTCGTTAAACGCCACTACGATTCCGTGCACACAGCTTCGGACCATCTATTGCCCTAGCATTTCCTAACAATCAAATTGCAATCATACGCTCGCAGACTTTACTCCAAAATACGTACGGGTGTAGTTTCATTTTTATAGAAAATCTGCGCCTGGTGATAAACTTTTAACTGCGCAACCGTGTTTCTTCTTTTTCATTACTCGACCGCGTAAATCAACGGAGTTTAATTTGAAATTCGCGTGTAAATCGGTTCGATAAAAAATATTTTGTGTAACTGTGTGTACTTACTCGTCTCTGCTTATCTCGCGGGTCTGCAACAATTTCAGAGAGAAAAAGGTTAAGAATCGGGATGCAGATGCCGGAATCGTGGACAGCGGGAGGCTCCTTTAATATTGCGATAACGTTTATACGCGGCCGCGGGTGGCTCTGCAAGCTCCTTTTAAGGGGCCGCCCATAAATTTCCAAACCACCCGTAAAATGATTATAAACGACCGAAGTTATCCTTAACTGTGCGCCGACGTTGATTTAACGTGGACTTTACGTGCCTAACGGCCGCGGGAAGTGTGTATTGTTGCGGCCAGGCTTCGAGGGAAGTCTATCCTTAACGAACAGTCCTTCGGGACGCATAATTCTGACAATTTCCCAACGCACTTTCAAAAATATCCCATCTACCTCTCATCCTTTAGTATTAGTTTACAAGAAACGGATTAAATAGAAAGTTATGATTAATATTGTATATGCATGCAACAGGCACAGTATAAGAAAGGTAGGTTCACTTTGTGGAAAAGTGTATTAATAATTTACACTTGCGTATGACAAAATCGCACAATAATTTAGGACTAGTCGATCGTCGCAGGATATAATTAGCTGAATTCTGTTGAAAATTCTGAGAACGGCAAGGTTAATTACCGGACAATTTCGTTAATAAGGATCCTCTCCCAGAATGAATTATGCGAGAATTAATGCAGCATAAGAAAAGCGTTTGAAAAACTTCGGCCTCTTTAACCCGTCCCGAGCTTAACGAGCCCGAAAACGCGTATTGTCGCTTGCTATTCGGACCGGGCCTCGTCGAAATCTAATTTAAACTCGGCCCCGTGGCTCTCCGATACCATCTCGATTAGAAAAACAGCGGTAACTGGCCGTAACGAGGAAAAGAAGGGAGAATTCGTTGGTTCGCGCACCTATCAGGCCGACTATTACGTCGATTAGTTCACGGCGGGACGGCAATTAAGCCGTGGCACACGTTCCAGAAATAAATGACTGCGAGATTAATATGTCGTGAAGGATGAAGAAGAGGAGAGTGGGAGCGATCGATGAAGTTGCCACGTTCTTTTTCACCGAGCTATTTAACAAGAACCAGTTCTACCTGGCTTCTGAACTTTATACATGGATGCAAAACTCGCAGTAAAATAGCAAATAGCAAAATAATATTTCTAATCTTCTAATATTTTATACGTTTTTCCATACCGAGGATATTGTTCACTTACGAAATTCTGATAATAAATGATACAATCGATAAGTACGCTTTGTCAATAATTTTATATCTCATATGCATTGCAACAATTGGTCGCGATTATTATCCGAAAAGTGTGTAAATTTTTATAGGGATATTATATAATATTTCGACAACGGTCGTAAAGTGCAGTCGAGTTCCGCTAACCTCGACACCGAAATTTAAGAGCCTCGAACACGGAAAATGTAAAATCCGATATACCGGAATCCACCCCCAGGGCCATTGAAAAAATTTATGTAGCTACCATTGTGAAATCGGTAATTAACTTGTCCTAGATTTTTTAACAGTAGCTTTCTTACGATTATGAAACAGAAATTACGCTCAGCAGGAAGACCGAAGAGGGTAAGCTGAAATGAAAAAGCCGACTCTTGTCCTTCTGTCCGTTGATCATCTGGATTCTTCCACTTTTTATTCACTCAAACCGCGATCTACCCATTAACGGACTTGCAGGAAACGAAACAGGACTTCGATTATAGCGAGAGTGTAAATGGGACCATCTTTTTATCATAATTTCTAATAAATTATTCTTCAGTCGCTATATAAAAACTAATCGAAGTAAACATGCAGACGCGGTATTATAACAAAAAAGAAGCGAACATTTAAGAGGGAAACGAAGAATGTCATCGGAAGAATTTCTGAAGGTCTATGCTCATCCTTTCACCTACGTCGCATATTCGAAATATAACAGGACCAGGTCTTAACGATCGTTATCAGTAGTCAGTATTCGTTACAGATAGACACGCAACGTGAAGGTTCTTCGCGAATCATCAGAATTCCGGAGGAGCTTTAAATTTCCGGAAGGAGGTGGGAGGAGTTCGCGTAAGGGACCGCAAGCCGCACTATTGCACGCGTGGCGGACCGCACGCGGCACGCGAAACCGCATGTAACGAGCCACATTCCGAGCATGGACCGCATAACAGACCTCCGATGGTTGCGCACCACTGTCCATTGAGTAAGTATCATGTACCCCAGCCTACCATTTACAATTAGTGAAAAATAATCCGGTCGATCGGCCAGTATCGAATTATCCAGTCGAAGGAGAAATTCAAGAAGCACATATACATTTGACACTTGCTTCAAGCAGACGCCTGTAGTGAACTCCTATGCAAAGTAAATCATTTAAATTCTCTTTATCACTTAAGTACCGTAATGCTTTTAATATTCTGTAGGATTCTTATCCGTAGATTGAATTTTCCTGTGAATGTATGTAATCCTCTGATTAAATTGAAATCTCCAAAGGTAACATTAAATGTAGTTTGTCCTTTGTGAACGAAGGTCTGAATAAGAGTAACATTATCATTTTATTGTTTGAACTTTCCTTCGTTTTTCGCTATGAATTATGGTTCCAATGGACGTATGCACGCCTGTGTGCCTTTGCTTTCCGAAGCGATTTCCTTTCAAATTTGACTGATATTCTATAATCTGATCCGAACAGAGTGCAGGTTGTTACATTATTATATTGAACACGTGTAGCGCGTGTCGATTGTCGCTGACGCGACTGCAATTGGAAGACGGCCAACGAACGGCCAACAGAAGGAGTATCAGCGATTAAGCGTGAACTTGCTAATTATAATGCATACTTGAAACGCGTCGATGATAATTATTTTTGTGAAACAGGCCGCGTTTTCGGTCGCTCCGTTAATTGCGTTCCTATCGCACCGGGATGGAACTGAAATCAAATTGAAACCCGGTTCGGCGACTCGAAACTCGCGTTAATTAAAATAGGGTACCGTATATGCTCGCAGATGTATATCACGTTTGCGTTCAATTTTTGTTTACCCTTTCTCGGGCTTTTTCACCGATGGCACAAAGATTTAGGGCAACCTACGTTGGCTTCGCGATCGAAACTCGTGCCAAAAACGGCGAGCGATAAAAAATTACATCCGCACGCGCCGTTTTATTTTGATTAAATAACTGGCTTCTATCACGGAACGAAAATAAAACTTGCTTGATTCGACCCGTTATCAGTCCCAACATTCCTTTCTATTAAAACCAATTGAACTCAAGCAATCGCTGGGTACATTTCATTTTGTAATTTATTCATAACGAACGTTCATAAAGTACATTCATAGTTAATAACAGCATTTCATTTTCAATATTAAACGATCGAATTGCTAAATGTGGATCTAATACAATCCGAGCAAAATTGTACTTTTACTGATCTACTTCAGTAAAGAAACCTGTCGAAACGAATTAGAATGCAATCCAATATCAACGAGCATATATAACGATGTTCTATCGCGGATAATAATTTAATCGGCGAACAATATCGACACGCGCGCGTATATACATGAGTACAGGTCAGCAGAGAGCTAGTTTCGATTCGATGAATTTGAAAAGCGAGAACGGGATCAGTGGGGAAAACTAGAGGCATTCGTTACCGACGAAGTTTTCGTTCAACTTAATTTCAATCTATCTATAGGAATCTATATCACGTCGCACCGGCTGTCCCCCAAATTCCCCTTCGCGTGCCACTCCTCTCCTTTTTTTCGACAATTTATGTTTTTCGAGGGAAATCGCGATTCTGGAATTCGTGCCAAACGATGCAATCTGCAGCTTGCTACAGTTACACGTTGTACGAGTCGCTTCGTCATTCGGTGACATCACACAAACCAATGAAACTACACCGTCACTGTTCTAGTTATATCGCAATAAGGAAAAAACACTTCATTTTCGTTCGATAAATACTGGAAGTTTCAGAAATTCTCAAGTGATACCGAAATTATCATTAAAAAGTTAACGAAAATTGTACGAGTTATCGTTTTTATGATGACATATTCTCGATTAGCAATTTTCGTCGAAGTTTCGTCAAATCGAAAGTGTATATTAGTTTCGATAAAACAAGGACGGAACGATGGAAGCTGTATGTAAACTGGAACAGAGTACGCTGGTCAATTAGATTCAATTAAACACGAAGTCGTTAGTCAGAACAATTGTGCTATGGAATGCGAGTTCCCAAGACTAATCACCTGACAAAGAAATGCTCTAAGCTTGATTTATAGCCATCGAATTAGCGATTGTTGCGAAAGAGAATTGAGACCTTTAGATTACAAAGAAACTTGACAAGCCATTTTATGATTAGATGGGTTCGATGCCATTTTGCGAAAATTGAACGTGTATAATACATAGGGATTGAATGCCCATTGCTATACGTTAAACTGAATTGCTATTGTTTAAGGTTCATAAAGTAAAATTATGAATAGACTTGTAAATAGGCTTGAACATGTATGAGTGTTTTAGCAAGAGTGCAGTGGTAAAAATTCATGGTCAAATCAATTATACAATATTTGCGGCATTCTCGAAACATGGCAAGTGTAATTTATAGTCAATTAGGAGCTATTGGTCTCCTAACCCAACCGCAAATTATATGGATTATATGTATACAATATATATCGTATATCTATACGTAACGCGTATAATGAAAATAGCTAGCCGCTCGATACAAGTCAATAACCGTTGACGGTTTAATCTAATTTACGATTACTAATATAGTAATCTGTAGATTGAACGATTAATATCCCGTGTTCACGTTTAATATTACGTTCTTTTATCGACACGATTGCCGCTTCCGAATCGCGCCAATGCGACAATAACGATAAATTTCACAGTACGAATAACGGGCTACGATATTGGCCATTATTATGTAATCAATTGTATTGTCGAGTCCATTGTTCCTTTTTTTGTTTGTTCGAAACTGCGTGAACGCAGATATTCAATTTTCCCGATTTAACATCGTATCATCTTGAATAATCAAGTCGCGAGCAGCAATTATAAAAAGAATTGCATGAAAAATTGCAAACATGACTAAACATAATCCGTATAAAGGAAATTGAAAGAGACAGTCACAAGTTGAACGATGACTGAACAATTTCTTATATCTAATCTGCTATTGAAAAGGGAAACCGCGCGCGATCGCGAAACGGAACGTGTGTCGTAGAACACGGGAAAGGGTCGACTTGTGTGGGAGGTGGGGCAATTTTTGCAGAGAGGGGAGAGACTTTTACAACAGATTTATATACGTACATACGTTCAACAGGCTAGCCATTGCGAGTCGCGTTCGACGGTTCGATGCGTCGCACAGAAGTTCTCCTTTCACCTTTCGAACGATTCCCGAGACTGATCTTCATCGCGTTTAACTAGGCGCGAAGTGACCGACGATTTTGAGAGTAGAAGAAGTACAAGCGGTAGAGTCAATGTCCAAGCTGGAGAAGAGACACTGGGGACGAACGAGAGTTTTGTGGCAAGTTCAAGGCTAGAGGCTTGAGAAGCGAGCGAGTGGTCGCGGTCGGCAAACTGGATTCGTTGGGCGAACCGGGTGTCGAGAGTGCGTGCTCGCCTGGATGAAGCTAATGACTCCATAGTGGGAGATAAACTTGGACATCGCGCCCGATAGGTAAGTATCTCGTTTGATCAAAACGATCATTTCTTTATTCGTTTCACGATTTGAAATATCGGAAGGGAAGGCCCGGTGGGAATCGATAGAATTGTATCGCGATTGACGACGAACGCGATAAAGCGAGTATCTGCGGGTAAATTAAATCGTTTGGTGGTCAGCATGACAGAGGAGACAAGTTTTAATGGAAAGCTCATTCTTGCAGGTAGCAGCTCGAAAAGAGAAGAAAGGAGGTTTTCAAAGCGAGGAGAGATTGGACGTCTCTGTGCCCGTATTGGATTCGCTCACGGCAAGCTCTAACTGTCGCCTGATCTATCGTGGCAGAACAAAATTCGACAGGTGAGTGAGCGCGTGGCCGCGGAACAATCTATCCGTAAATCGTGATCTAATAAAAGCCCGGGCCAGACGTTTCAGAAATGAATGCGTCAGATGGTACGAATTTGATAAATCAATTAACGATGAAATGTTTCAACATCGAGATTATTTTAGTCTCGAAAAGTTCCCGATTCCACTTTAGACAATTTCGCGCAACGAGTGCTTATAGTTGTTGTTCCCTGGATCCCATCTCCATTTACACCGCGGCTCGAATTATGCGAAGTCTTACTCTTCAATTATGAAAGCGAAGGTACATGGAAAGACTTTTAATGCCGGTGGCGCGCACCAGAAGGAGTTTGAAAAAGTTCCAACTAGGACGAATAAATTTAATGATTTTGGTTGGAAAGACTTTTTTCTTATCGACGAACCGGATCGATCGAACTGATAGAAAAATCACGAGACCCGTCGCGTATCGTCGACGCTATGACACAATATAATTTCCGTGAATCTGGCCGTGAAATCGAAATCGATTCCGACGGCTCTCATCGAGGCTGCCGAGAAACGAGGCCGCCGAATACGAAAGTCATTGACACGTTTTCTGTACACATGCGATACGATACGCCGCCAAACATCGCCGTTGACAGCTTTCGCGAACGAGCCAGTATTCGCACACTTAGGAAATCGTAGCCAGAGTTTCTTTAACTCAACATACATACATTTTCGTCCAGTCGCGTTGTCATCGGGAAAAGTTGACGAATCGAACAAACGAATAGCAAACCAGATCTCGTTATCGCTTACCACTAGCTTATCGCTGTTCAGTTGTCAAATATCTTTATGATCCAGATAACAAGCTTGTATCCGGTGACAATTGGTGAAACACATGTAATTACACTGCTGATTTCAATTACGCTTTTAATTTTCTTCTATTTTTAAATCGTTCCGTTAAATTGGTCATTCAATCGTTCATTGAACTAATCACTCGGGACTGGAATTAGCGAACGAGCAGTGTTCCATTGACGATTCGATTCGGAAATCGATGCTCATTCCCGATCGATGGCAATGATAATTTCCAATCAAAGCGAACGGAATACGCGAAAGCTGCGATAAAAGGTGTTACGAGCCTCAATCATTGGAGATTTCGCATCGTCACTAGTAGATGTTTCAACCACGCGTATGCGAACGATCAATGATGGAACGGTCGTGTAAGTGCGCGCTATATTCAGGGACGCGTAGATGAAAAATCGCGACGATATCGCATGGTTTGCGCTTAGCAAGGCTTACGCCGCGAGGTGGATAGGAAATTGTTCTCGTTCGGAGCAACAAGGTCGCGGGAAATAGTGCAAAGCATTCCAACGGAAAAATGTTTCCTCTGCAGAAAATTATCTTCGGTTATTAGGACAGCTTTCGTAACTGTAAACGAAGTTTACTTAAGTAGAAAATATAATAGTTAACACTTTCTATAAATATATTCCAGTGTTAAACACTTTTTAACATCTGCTGCTAGACGGTAATAAAATGTTCAAACAGTAAAAGGTTCTTAACGATTTTCTTGCCTCGAGATGATGGATTCTAGCGGTCTCAATTTTTTAAACGGCATTACGTCTCGTGCAAACGATAAATCATTTAATCCGGAAAAAGGCGTCAATCTATAGCTGAAGCTACGGCGCACAATAAAGCGGTCCAAGATTAATTATCTGACAGTAATTATCAATTGTTATCGTCTGTAAAATTCTTGGATATTTATAATGCATCGGAATCGAACGCTAACATTGATCGAGACAAGATCCATTCAGTCTGCGCGTATTTACAAAGGTATCCATAATTGATTAATTTTATGAAATGATCTTAACTGATGGGGAATAAAATTTTTATCAGTTTCGATAAGGCTCGTAATTCGGTTAGAGACGCACCCGATTAAGACTAAATCGACCGGTTCTACTTCAAAGACGATTAAATCAATTTTCCGTAATTACGCTATCGCGGTTCGCGTTATCAGGATACTTTTGTTCCATCCCGAGGAATTACGATCCGCTCCGAGGAAAGAAAGAGCCGAATTATCAGGACGATTTTAATTCCGGAAATAACGTAGCAATCCCAGGAGGAGTTCGTTACGGAAAAATATGAACGGAGTATATTCCTTTTGATTTTTGTTTATCGTCCGAACAACGGACGATAAATTAACATTTATCAAGCTCTTCGCGTTGACAGGACCGGAGGAAATAATTGGAAATTTATTTTCGGGAGAGCGGCCGCGTATTTATTGAATATTCGAAATAATTTGTCTACTGAATGATAAAGTAATTCGTCCTCGTTATGATTTATGAATCAACGTTATTCATTTTCATTGTCTGTAACGCGGCACCGGCGCATACGCTTTTATCGTTAAAAATTATATTCGTTCGAAGCTTGGTCGAGCGTTCCCGTTTTTAATTTTTATCTTTTTCCCCTTTTTACTGCCCTTCTTGGTCAAGGATTTTCCGGCCCGAATTTTCATTCCCCGTTTGCGAGGAGAGCCCGGGAATAATTATAAACACGCGGAAGGGAGCAAGCGTATAATCAGTCGGACTCTCGCGAGCTCAACAACGTTTCGCGTTTTCCCTCTTTTTTATTTCAGAACGGAATTAAACATGCAACACGCAAGCAGCGTGTATCATGCTTCAATTAAGGCAGACGCATATCAAAGTCGTCGCAGCTTCGAAAAAACCGCTCCCTGTAGGGACGCGAGCTGTTCCAAAATTTCAAATATTTCTTTTTCGTAAATCTCTGTACTTCCCTTTACAAAAATCTGCAGCCCTTAGCGTAATCCGATCCAAGGAATTACTATCCCAGCGTCACTTTTAAACGTTTTGAACATGCTCTGCTCTCGACACAATCTGGGACAGTTTATCTGAACTTTGAATTTTTTCATCCACGCAATTTGTCGAATGATAATTAAATTCTTTACGAGCACGTTCCTTTTTTTCGTTTTGCGATAACGAACGATCGTCGTCGAGCAAGCAAGAAAACTTAAAGATCGAGGTTTTCGATCAATCATCTTACCAACCTCTTTAATTGTTATTAATGAGGAAAGGCTTCTTTTTTTGATCCTACTTGAAACACTTAACCAAAAGAACCGACTCGACTAATCAATCTCTTGTTATCAATAACGAAAATGTTTCATTATATTTACAAAATATGCACATCCTCTGGTCACAAATCTTAGTACATATAAATGAATAAGACGATGTTACAAATTAATCTATAATTCTATTCATGATTATCACATGACCAGCTTTATGTTTCGTTACATGATTAAGG